GGGGGGGGGGCTAACGGTGCGCTATGGGGCGTGCTGCCGTTAGATTGAGAAAGTTTTAATCGAGTGTGAACTGGTTGGGAATAAGGGGACGACAATCGTACAGCCTCCTCCCTGCTCCGGCTACTACCCCTCTCCTCCTCCCTTCCCTACCCCTCCCCTCTTTACCCCTCCTTTGGCCTGCTCTACCCTTCCTGACCCCGCCTATCCTAACCTACCCTCACATTTTGTTTCACACTACTTTCGCTCTTTACCCCCCCCCCCCCCTCCCATCTCCTCCCCCCACGTATTCCCGTGACCTTTCACCTTGCAGCTGCTACGCTGCCTCGCTGCCCTTCTTCCCTTTGAGATGTTCTTTGCTGCCGTGTCATGCAAATAAGCAGTACACAACTCCTTCTAATAAAAGCACACTGAAAAATGGGGGGGGGGGACAGGCACGCAGTACCATAACAAATGAAAACATATCTGTTTTAACAAAACATGGACTGTTTCAAAAGGGCACAAAGAAGAAGTAACATTGAATTTCAAACAAAAGCCAACCGTTTTTGTTGTTGTTTTCTGTTTTAAAACTGTCCGAGATCGTGTTGTCAAGTGCACCACCAATCCTGCTGAAAAAAAAAGCATAAAAACAACGAATGAAGCAGATGTTTGCTTGCTTCCTCTCCATATTTTCCAACAGTGTGTCTTGACTCTCGAGTTTGCCGCGCTCAGCTCGGCGCCCGTGCCGCCAGGCCCGGGCGCACTTTGCGAAGAACTTAAGCAGGAAGGATAGCTGTCTGACCTTCTAGGCCATCCAGGCCGCAACGCCGGCAAAAAGATAATGAGAAACGACACACACACACACACACACACAGAGAGAGAGAGAGAGAGAGAGAGAGAGAGAAAGAGAGAGAGAGAGAGAGAGAGAGAGGCGCCCACAGTGAATGGAGGGCGGGCGCCGGACGGAGCCTGGATGTGGCACTTTTTGTCACAACGGGGTTGCGGCGGACGCGCGACAAGGGCTTAGCGCGCCGCCCCTTGCTGCCCGCCGCGCCGGGGGCGGGCCGGGGGCGGGCCGGGACGGACAGGCGCCTCTTGAAGGGTTGCCTCCCCGAGCACACACCCTCACCCCCACAAACATGCTTTCTTGTTTCGAGCATATTTTAAACCAAGCCCTAAGCTCTTCTCGAGCACCTGTTAAAATTGTATCTTTCGGAGGAAATGTTGATTATATCTAATTCCTTTTTTCCTCCGAATAACATAGATTTGGCTTAACTGCTCGAGAAGAGCTCTGAGCTTGGTTTAAATTTCCTGAAACGCATTTTTCGGGGTGCTCTTTCGGAAGCAGCGCCGTTATGACGCTCAGTGTGCCATAATATTTACGGCCGAGCTGGGAAATGTGACCTTTTTTTTTGCTCTTCACCAGTACCCCCCC